TCAATTGCAAGTTCCACTTTAAAAACAAAACATGATATAGGACCACATGTGCTGCATGATCCAGAAACAGCAGGGTGACTTAGAGATACAAACGTCTCTTGTTACCTGGTAGGTGTATGAAAGCACTTTTAATTGTATTTGAATCAACTTGTATGTGACTGAATAATATCATTTTGCAGTACAGTAATCACCAAACATTGATCCCTAAATAATAAGGACTTTTCTCCTGCTTCTACTAACTTCAGTGAAAGCAGGATGAAACTTATTTTCTATGCTGTGAAAATGGTTTGTTTACAGACAAATGGCAAGGGAACATCCTAAAAATCTTATAGTTTAGCATATATCATAACTGATACCCCGGATCTGGCTTGGGCACATTTTGGCATCTCTGCTTGGTGCTTCCTTTCACTTGTCAATGAAGGTGTCTGTTTGTCCAATCCTCTGAGTGCAAGAGAACAGAACATAGTTCCTTCTAGGAAAGGAGCAACTGAAAATTAAATAAAACCTTAGAGCTTTTTATATTAGGACAATAAACCACAGAACTTGTTGAGCAAAAAATAAGACCTGCAGGTGGAATATTATTAAAATGTATTTGCTCCAGCTGAGCATCTTTTTAGCAAAAGCACTTTCAAATGAAAATCTAGGCATGATCCATATTGCAGTGCTTACAGCAAACTAGCTTTTTTTTTCTTTTCCATAGTACAAATATCACTAATAGCAGTTATTAAAGTCAGGCTCAGAAATTCAGAATCCTGAAATTAGCTGCATCACCTCAGGGCTACTAACCTCTCTCCAGCGAGGTTTGAGAGATGTGGAAAATTCTAAGCTCATAGATGAATTTTAAATTAAAAATAATAATCATCACCATCAAAACTAAGATGAACTTTCACCATGATTGTTAGAAAAGGCAGCTTGCTCAGACCTTGCAATCCAGCTGAGTAGTAGTTATTATTTTTTATTTTGGAATACTGTTAAGTCAAGGACAAAGACTTACAAAACTCCCAAATTTTCAAAGAACAAAAAGTCATCATTTTCCCCTCTATTTTCTGACTTCTGTTTCCTTTTCTTTCAGCCATGTTGTATTGCATTAGTATTATTTTGTTATTACATGGGCCAGGTGATAAAAAAGATCAATATTAAAGTCTGATATCATGGTATCAAAAGTAGTCATTTTTACACATGGAACTTGAACATTTTCCAGGGCTAAGTACAGACAGTCAAAAAGCCCAAGGCTAAATCAATTCAATCTTCGCAAGTTAGCCTAAGCTGCATGGACTGAACTAATGAACAAGTGAACAGACATTCACTTTGGATTCTGGAAGTGCAGCCACATGCCTTCAATGGCCCAGGCCAGCAGCTGTGGGCTGCTAAAGCATGCCTCCCTGCCCACTGGAGCAAACAGCTTGGGCCAAGTCTAGCCTGCTCACCCTGTGAATGGAAAAGGAGTTTGTGGGGGAGGTGCAAAGCTTCCTGGGACTCTGGGGGGCTGTGAATTAACTTGAATCTGGAGGGGATCTGGGGCAGAAATTGAATACACTGGTTTAATGTAACTACATCCATCCAAGTTTATCTTAAATTGCTCCCAGCCATTTTGAATGTAGTTTAGAAGCACTGAACTTCTAGGCTAGGGACAGACATTACACATAAACTGGTTTAAGTGATCAGAAACTGTTTTAAACCTGTAACAGAAGAGATGTTCAGTGTACATAAACCAGTTTAAAAATGGCTAAAAGGGGTTTGAGATGAACCTTGTTAAATGTAGTATCAGACTTAACTGATTTGGCTCAAACCGATTTATGCAATGTCTGTCCTAGACCCCTTGCTAGTTTAAGTTAAACCAGACTCCTCCAGCATCCTGCCATGCTGTCTGGACTGGGCAGGGCTCTATGCTCCACAGCAGGGCTGGCCTCTCCCCTCTGCTCCCTGGCTGGAGCTTGGCAGAGACTGCAGGCATCTGCCTGCATTCCCCCATCTCCCTACCTCCCTTTCGTGTCCCCTCTGCCTGACACAGACACCTCTCAGTATTAGCTAGAAGACCGCATACTGACTATGGTCCATGCTGTGGCAGACAGGACAAAGGCAGATTCAACAGGTAGCTGATAATGTCCCTCTGTTGTTTTCTTAATGGGATGATAAACACTGAGTTAGGGGTGATAAACACTGTGTTATCAATTCTCTGCTGGGCTAGTCAGAAGGTGGGGGGCAGGGGGGAGAGAAACCCTCCCTAATCAGAGCATCCTGCTGGGGCCTGGCCACACCTTCCACCCCTCAGCTCAGCACTTTGGAAGCAAGGGGAGGTCTGCTATAGCTTCCCCCTGGCATCTAGACTGAGCCACTGCAGGCATGTCCCTGCATTTCTAGGATGTCTATACAGTTACAAACTGATTCATCCTAGGCAGGTTAGACTAACCTGAAAAGTTTGAATCAATGCAGGCTCAGGCTTTTTGAATGCCTGTCCCTAGCCCTTCTGTGTTATAGATTTGAACTGGCTTCTGATCACTTATACCAGTTTACATGTAATTTTGTCCCCAGCCCAAATAAATTACTCTTAGGCTTTCATTTTGGATTCATCAATGCATATTAAAAGTGGTTGTTAAAAGTACAGGAAACAGAAATTTTCTTTGGCACAGAAAAGGAGATTGCATCCATATAGCAGCTTTAAAAGCTTGCCATTGCCATTATAGTGTAACAAACCTAAACTTTTTCTCCAGTTCTTTACTGAGTTTAAGCAAGAGAGAAAAATGTTGATGTGGATAAATCTCTCAGGAAAAAAAAAAATAGATTAAGGCCATGCACATTTAAGACAGGATGTGCTGAATGTCCATGACATACCATTAACTTCTGTTCATGTTTGCTGTTAGACATACCTGAAAACTTTTATCTAAGCTCTTCACCAGATATCCAATGATTCTGCAACCTTCTTTTTTGCTTTTTTTAGATGCAAAACTCAATTGACAAGGTTTTTCAAAAGAAAAAATTACTAATGTACTCACATGAGAAAACAGAAACCTTGCATCTACCTACAGTATGTCTTTCCCCCTTATTGGTGTTTTTTGGTTTGCATAAAAACATCCTGTCTCTGGTACTGAAAAATAAAAATTCCAGTTCCTACTCAAAAACAAGTGAGCCAAGACCTTCAGGTCAAAAAGTTCACATTCCATTACCCATCTCCTAAGATGTTAGGTATCCAGCTTTGGACAGACAAATTATTTCTTTGTTTGAAGTACACTTGGGTTTAGGGTATCTTCCCTCCTCCCTTCAGTAGATTCAAGAGAGAAGCTCATTTCATATTACCAAGTTGGAACAGATTCCTCATCAGAATCTACTCCAGGGGTGGGCAAAATATGGTCCACGGGCTGAATCCAGCCCACCAATTGATTGTACTTGGCTTATGACTGTCCTCGTGGTGCTCCACATGAAGCTGAGGGCTGCTTGCTCCCACCCAGGGCAGCCTGAAACACACTGTAGCCTGAACCTGCTTTGTGCCTGCTGATGGCACTGCCCCAGCCCTGGCCCTGGCCAGTGTGCACAGCTTTTTGGCATGGCTGCTTCCACTGTTGCTAAAGCTGCCTGGGTACTGCTTGGCTCCCGTTGCCTCCAGTGGCTCCTTCTCTTGCCCCTGCTATACTAGTTCAGGCATCAGGCAGTGTCAGGAAGTGGCAGCTGCCATGGGCATGCATGCCAGGTAGCACATGCCTACTTAAGCAGGGGAGAAGCTGCAGCCAGGCAGACCTTGACCCAGTGCATGGGACTCCAGCTCTAGCTCCTGGCCACCTTCCACACACTTGGCCATCCGGTGTGATGAGAAGCTAGTTGTGGGTGGCCAAGTGGGTTGAAAGCAGCCCCATGGGGAAGCTGTGCATGCTGGCCAAGTCCTTTGGTGGGCCGGGGGCAGGACCAGGCAGGGCTCAGCCGGATGTAGTGCCACAGGGGCAGCTGCAGGACAGATGGGGGGGGGGGTAGACTGTATATGCTTGTGCACCTTCACCACACTAACCACGTGAACTCTGTTGCATGTGTCCC